TCAAATTTTTGCAATTTTTGGTATAAAATTTGGATTTTTATTTAATATTAAAGGAGAATATGTACTCGGGTACGTTTATATAAATTGTTAAAGACTCAAGAATTGAGATTACCTCTCGATTGAAATATTAATAGAGAAAAGTGACGAATGAAATAGAAGGCAAATTTTTGTGAAGACGTATACTCCTACGTAGTCCAGTATATAGGTTTTGAAAATGGAAATTGTGCATTTATCTCAAGGTAGACATAGCTCGGCTTATCGGAGTTAGCGACGCAGGAATGGTGTACTTCCGCTTCCGTATAGATATCGAAACTTACTCAAGAAAGAGTTCTAAACCGGAGATATCGCGTGTAACGCGAAAGCAAATCGACGTTTCTACGATTGTAACGACGAGATGAGATTAGAAATCCCACTAACAGTGGCATTACCCGTCTCATTTCCATCTCTCTGCGACGCATCTCTCTGCTTACATATCGAACATTTCGACACATTGATTGGAAATGCTGTCATAATAATTACTATATTTGCACAATACCAATCACCACTCTTTAATCTTCAATGTTAGGTCTTGCTAATCAAATTTTTAATTAAAATTTGTAATATCAAATTTTAGTAAATCAAATTTTTTGGTAAATTACAAGATTTTGTTATTGAAAGAAAAAGTCTTTTATTGAAATAAATGTCATAGTCATGTCGCGCAGTGTGTTTCGAGACACAATGTGTGAAAATAGTAATAGAACAAAATATATTCCATGTCACAAAGAGTCAGAGAATAACCGAGATGTAAAGACTGATATGCGCGAGAATTCACATGCAAAAAACACGGGTGATCCATCAGAATCAGGCGGCAACGTCTGCTTTCACTGTGCTTTAAATCGGTAGGACGAACCGGCACCAAATCAAGATGGACCGTGGATGGAGTGCAGTTCGGGCGATCTCTGTCGTGACATCGTGGTTACGATAACCGTGAACATGCGAACAAGGCGCGCGTATACGAGAGATACTAGACCGATGTGAGCGCGCGCGCGAGAGAGGTACTAGCCCCAATGATATACCGTAGTTCAGGCTCGGTATCGGACCCGAAGGATCTCTCCCCGCTTTGTACGAAATACATTATATGAATGCACAGTTTGTATAGGCTGCCGTTTAATGCGTTCATTTCCCTCACCTTTACTCTCTTTTAACCTTCTTGACTAATATGTACATAAAACTACTTTAAAGACGAACAAAATGTTTTAAAATTCTTTATATCTATGCAAAAATATTTGACAGCTTTTTATGTATCAGATCATCTTCCTGTTTATTCCTTAGTATAATTTGCTGTACGTTTTTTCTCTATTCGTTGTATTATAACGAAGGCTATGATCTATTATAGAAAGAGAAAGGACATTCAATTATCTTTGATTAGGATTAATTGATCTGGAATCGGGTCTTGAATGGTCGAGGACTTGTGGTCCTTCAGTGCTAGTTTCCTCCAATTTGATTTGATATTAATATTTTGATCCCCTTTCTCGCGCACGGATATATTTATTTGTTGCTGTCGCAGACAGCAAACCCAAAAAATAAAAATTTTTGCCTTTAACGAATAAATAGATTTCTTGCTTGTGTCGTTAAATTGTTTTACCTTCTATGAGAACATATACAACACTATGATGACAGCGTAACATAAATTTATGCATGATTGAAAGAATGAATAAAAGTAAGAGAACTTTTTCATGTGTCTGACAATTGATTATGTAATGATCAAATTTTTGTAAATTAAGAGTAGAGTTTGCATGCGCATGAACATATATATTTGAAATTATTTGTTAAGATGAAACCATAGTACAAATTAGCTACGTCTTTGCATAGAAAACTAGCAACTTTGCCGGCACTCAACGTGTTAACACTTAAGTAGTTCTATGAATTTTCATGAGTTGAATATTCATGATGTCATGTATTTTATAATAATATGTACAATAAAAGCGTAGCGTACATTCAAGGAACTCGTGAATAAATCGAATAAAAAATCAAATAAGCTAGTCAATTGTGCAAGAGAAACTAAACCTAAATTTATAACCGTGAAGGCCAGTTTGACATGCGATAATTTAAAAGTCAGGCATAGTGTAGCATTAAAACACGATCAATAATTGGAGTATAATATGCTTTCTTGTATACGTTATAACGAAATTAGATAGTAATTAATATCAAGTCTGTAATTTGTGTAACGCGCGATATTTGTGCGCAGATTTTCATCTATATTTTTCGAAGCTAAAAATTTCGCCTCTCGTATTCTTTTATATTTTCAAAAAGGCAAATAAGTGTCAATGCATACAAAAGGGCAACAACTTGCTTGCTAGTCGCTGCTAGATGTATGTACGTGCAGAAAAACATATGTTTTAATAGAAATAAAAACATACGTTTCGGCTTGAATATCAAGTCATCTTCAGTGTATAATACAGATGTTCGCAATACAAATTTTTATAATAAACGAGTTTGAGTCAGTAATACTGAAAGAAGTTTTACCATAAAATAACTATAGAGTATTGTGACACAACTCAGAAAGTAAAGTCAATTTTTCTCCTAACTTAACAATTTTAATATATATTGAACTCTTCTATCTCGCTCACACCAACTGACTGGCGCTCAAAGTCTATTACCGGACAATTATTAAACTATGAATCACAAGACCAACACGCTAAAACTTCTTTTAGTATTACTGACTCAAACTCGTTTATTATAAAAATTTGTATTGCAAACATCTGCATTATACATTGAAGATGGCTTGATATTGAAGCCGTAACGTATGTTTTTATTTCTATTGAAATATATGTTCTGCACGTATGTACATCTAGCAGCGGTTCTTGCTGCTTTTCCTTACGTATTGATAGTTTAATCATATGAGCCTTTAAGAATTTTATGCAAATAAGTATGTTTCTACCAGAAACTGTAACTATCTATATTGTTTGTGGTCTTAATTATTGAGTTAGTCGAGCTTTGGAGATTTTCCAGCGGATTTAGGCGTCCGCTGGATCAGAAAGTTTTGAGAAGCACCGCGTTTAACTGCACGTGGATGCCACAAGCGAGATTACAAGAGGGGTAGAGATATAACAGTGCGATGCGACGTTCTGTCGCATTTCGCATATTCTCCCTTTCCCTCTTGTTCGACGCAGTTTCGAAATTCGTGCGGAAAAGCAATTGTGGGGAAACGAGCACGTGAGTTATCCGGTCGAATTTCAGAGTTAATAATGCGACGTGTCGGAATTCGGTCGAACAAAATCGGATCGAATCCGATTTCAAACACATCGTCGATATGCTCGGACATCGCGACGTGTTTCAACGAGCGCTGCGCTCATGTGAAAGATACGCGACGCGGCGGTCCTGCGTTTATCGCATCGGAGGATCTTACCCGCTACGCACCGTGCCATCGGAGTCGCTATAAAGAATTTCCCTCGGATCTCGCTTGATTCTCTCCCTCGCACACATATTCTCTCTCTCTCTCTCTCTCTCTCTCTCTGTCTTTTTGCATTCGAACTTTATCACTTTCTTTCTCTCTCTTGCGAACGCGCTGAAACAAGATTACTCCGACATACAGTATGCGCGCAGTAAGTTCTCCTTTGCCGTGTTGGTACCAGCGGAAGAAAGAAGATCGCGCGCGAGACGACGGAGAGAGACGCTGTAAACGACAGTGAGGAAGAAAGAGGAGGTGACTGACTAAACCCCTCCACCCGCGAGCGACGAGCGTGATAGTCAGCAGGCGATGCGCGACCAAATCTAGCCTAACCTCATTGCCGGTTCTCCAGCGAGGCAAGCGAACGAGCGAGCGGGCTGGCAAATAGGCTGGGTCGCCAGGCAGCGAGAACGAGACGAAGACGGAGTTACAGTCATATGGGGAACGATGTGGCGTGGGAGGGACAAGAGGGGAAAACGCGGGCATGCGCTCGTGGTGGTTTATCGAGCTGCGGAGAGGGGTGGTTGGAGAGTGGCGGCGGCCTCGTCGACGTCGCGGTGGCGGCAGCAGCAGCGGCAGCGGCAGTGGTGGCGACGTGGCACCATACGAGCGAGTGAGATGACAGGATTCTCCTAAGCGAGCAGAGGGAGAAGATGAGAAAAAGAGGAAGAGGGGAAATGCACCGTGTAGCGGGAGGATAGGGAAGGAAAAGGACGACACACATCTGATAGGCGCGCGTGAGAGAGGCAGCTCGAACGGGTTGGGACAGAAGGAGAGAGGAAATGCGTAGTAGCGACGGAATAGGGATGGCAAAAGCGGAGTTATCTAATAGATGCAAGCGAGATGATAGGAGTTTGGTGCGGTGAGGAAGAGAGACAGCGCGCTGAAAGGGGAAAGAGATAGAGCGTGTCGTAGGTGGATGGGGGAAGGCGCAGCGGATGATATCCAGTGGGTGTGAGCAAGCGAGAGAGATGCTCTGGCGCGATGGAGAACATCGGAATGTGTCGGAATGACAAGAGAGAACGAGCGAGGTGCATATGTGCGGGTGAGACGCCACGATATCGAGAGCGCGAGCGAGACGGACCGCGAGCTGCCGACGAACATGTCAGGACGGTTTGAGGGAGGAAAGGGGAATACACGCGACTGGCGTTGGAGGGGTTTGCTGGAATTGTAGAAGGGGGAGAGAGAGGGGCGCTGCCGTCGGGCAGTCGCTGTCGCGCCAGGCCCTCGCTAGCGGCTAGCAAGCAAGCAGTAAAGCAGTCGCAATCCCGTCGCCTAACCAGCATCGCTCGCCTTATCTCTTCACCCTCTCTCAAAAATTGCATCGAGGCTTCCGTCAGCTGCATTATAATACACACGTCGCTCCGTTTCCGTTCAAGCGCTGGTTGTATCAACGACG